ACATTATTTTAAATCATCGATATCAGATCGTCAGGTACGATCGCGTTCTAAATTCAATTATTCTACGTATGTTTGGACGCGAAGCTATCGATAAGCTATTCGTATTTATCCCATAAAGATTCTAGTTTCATAATCCGGTGGATATCGCGCGCTAGTTGAGGTTCATTGAGCGTTTCTCCCGGTTCGATTTTATTCGATTACAGTGGGATCCGCATATGAGCATACGAGCCTCATGCGCTACGGTAATTAGTTTATCTCGTATCCGTAACCGGTGCACCTGGGATTTTCACAAATTCTCGTAAATCACGGACTTCCTTTCGATCCTGTTCTCCCTTCGAAAGGGCTCGGCTAGCGAATGCGGGATTTCCTTTGACAGTGTTTTTTTTTTTTTCGTGGCAAGTACGCATTCCGGGATCGCCTCGAGGGATCGACCGTAAACTCCGTCATAAAATCCCGTAGGAATTTTATGAAAGCGCTCTCGTTAGACGGCGGCTGAGTTCTCGGGCGTTTTCCATGGACCGGTGATGATTACTTCGAGCTTCCTGTCGCGATCAACCCGGTCTATAACTCCTTCCGATATCCGCATGTAACATTTTCCTCGTTTTCGATTCGTTAGAGTTTTTAACGTAAACTCTAATTAATAACGTAATTGTTAATGTAACAAACGGTGATTCTACAGCGACGAACAGTGTGTTATTTGGCTAGTTTTTCACAATTTCATTTAAAGTAAGAGTGTTACCAAGATTTAAAACAGTATAGAATCACTTAAACCTCGATGTAAGGTGGGTCACTTAAAACAGAACCTGCTTGTCTATTACAGATAGAAAACGATTGCAAGTCTCCGTTAGAAAATAAATAAAGAAATACGTCGTTCCGTTAGAAGAAGCGTTATCGCCTGTGAAATGTCCTCGATGGCTCTACTTTGAAGCCGGAGGAAACATCGTCAAGTCGTATACAGGAAATTTATATAAGAGGAAAAATGATATTTCAAATAAAATTCATAAATATTCCACCGGATTTTTCGTTAGAAAAATGAAAAAATACAACGCGTACAAAAATATTCCACGAAACGATTACAAAATCCTAATATTTCGTTAACAGAAAAGCGCAAGATAACAAGCAGCGAAGGTATTGGATACGATTATACCGTCGCGAGCAAACGGAATATTATTTTCAGGATAAATACAATATCATGGAAGCGAAATTATACCGCAACGAGGCTCGCAGCCTGACCGCGTGATCGCGAGTCTTCAGTCGTAGCTATCTCGATGTAATATCTTACTTCAAAGGCTGTACAGCGATGTCGTAGGTACTTGAATAAATTCTACACTTCAGTGAGTTCGGTGGAATTGTCTACGAACGCAACATCGATACTCGTATGCAAATTAGGGTTGTATTGACAAGTGGAAGGGATAGGGTGGTTAACATCGAGTTAAATTGCGAGTGGAAGTTGTCCATTTCGGACAGAAGCAAGGGTCAAACGTGAGGTGTAAGGTATACAGAACGAATCAGAGGGAAAGGACGTCTGAACATGTCTGTTGGGACTGAAGGTAGAATAAAATGTCACAGACGGATGTTGTTTGCTGTATCGTGCCGTTCGAGAAAATGTATATGCTGGTTTAACGAGATCTTCGGTTTGGGATTATCTTCGAGGTTGTTTAAAGATTATCGAGGACTTTTTGAAACGGTGCCATGTATTCTTAATCGTAGGGTGTAGTATTTAATGTTGAGACGAGAAGGATTCAACGACGTAGGATACTCGAGTTCCGAAGTCTGAATATTACTAATTGCAAACACTGCTAGTATCGAACCAAGGAACAGTTACTTTCTGTACTACTTTCTTTATTTTCTATTATTTAATGCTTCGCTCTCTATATTAAAATTATCGTAGATTGTTCTGTCTAGAACGAATAAAACAATCCTAATCATAACAGTCCTGGATACAAGTTTCTCTGACGCGCCACCAATAATTAATACGTTCTCAAACAAACGAGATAATTACATAACATTTACCGTGTTTATTTCTTGGAACATTAACCCACATATATGCCAAATTTCAAACACCTACGTCTCATATTTATTTCCATACTAAATCCTAAAGATCGCCCAATGAACGTTCAAGTAATAATACAGTAGAGCCTCGGTTATTGCAAGAAATCGTGGCTAAAATTTCTGTGCAATTATCAAGGTTTCGTTGACCAAGGTAACCAATTTAATTAAGTAATAGCCTACACTTATCCCTCCTACTTGTGATATATAACTGATGGGTAGCGTCTCCAACTATACTCATTGTTTAGCAAACATCCTCTAAATACTACTAAAATGCTATACTATACTCCATACTACTAATAAACGATGTTGCGGTAATCGAGATTCTACCGATCTTCTTCAAGTCCCAGCTTACAATGTTTACGTCAAGACAGACTTTTCGTTGTTAAATATCACGCGAATCGTGCGATTAACGTTTCGTGCAGCCTTCCGTAGATGGTTTCCACGAACCATCGCGAATATACCGATCCATCCGGAGTCCTGGGCCCCGCAATTTGTCTTGCGGGGGCCTAAGAGGCGTAGCCCAGTTTCAAGCCAAATTTGTCCGACAGTCGATCATTAAAGGAATTCGTCGAGGTCGTCCCATTAGCGAAAGTATCGAGGCCCTGGTGGTGAATCGGTCGTCCCTGGACAGTGACGAACTCGATACGGGTGCAACCTATCGCACCCTCGTCTCGAAATGTCTATTTTTTAACCGACTTCGAAGAGGTGTAGGTTACTCAATTCGACGTGTATATATATATATATTTTTTTTTTTTCACCGTCTGAATTTGTTTATCTAAGAATGCAAAGTAAAGAAAGACTTCGAGTTAATTCAGGTAATCAACGATTATTTGATAGTTTCTGTGTTTCGATATTAATTCGATTACTTAATTAGTCTATTATATACAGGGCTTTCTGCAAGGGAATTTAGAATTTTATTTTTTAATAATATAACACACCTGTCAGGTTAATCGTGGTAGACGTACCGATACGAATATATTGAATGAATTATATAAATCGAAAATATTGAATTAGAACTGGATTGGAGCTGGATTAAAACAGAAAATCATAAGGTCTCTTTTGGAATACCTTTTACACGTTATTTTTGTATATGTTAATCAAGAATAACTCGTAATTCTTAAACCAATTATCTATGACATTTTGCCTTCGAGACTGAGTTGTCTAAAGCGGATTAAATTCTCTTCTCTTCATAAGATGTATGTAGACTAAATTAATCCGTCCTTCGTTAACCCACTCGCATTATTAGCACATTATCTATGACATTTTGCCTTCGAGACTGAGTTGTCTAAAGAGGATTAAATTCTCTTCTCTTCATAAGATGTATGTAGACTAAATTAATCCGTCCTTCGTTAACCCACTTGCATTATTAGCACATGCTTGTCCCAGTTTGTCAACGTCTTTTAAAAGTTTTTCAAAAATATTTCGTATAGTTTATCACAAAAAGAAGAAAATACATTTACTAATTTACCAACGATACATTTCACCAATGTGATCATTTTCACATAGTTCCAAACATTAACCATTTCAAATTTCATCACATTGTACAAAATAATTAGATTTTTTCTTTTTACTACCGTTAATAACGCATTAACTTCATCATAGATACTGCCACATAAGTGTACATTTTGTTTCCGAGTTCCTTTACCTGTCCCAATTTGTCAACCGTTAATATATAACGCATTAACTTCTCGAGGGATACTGGCACACACATGTACATTGTGTTTCTGAGTTCTTCTATATATCATCGCGTGAAAATAGTCAATTACAAACAAACGTTCGTAATTAAATTTCTCAATCTCACGATACAACGTCATCGTCACGAGATAGATAGATGTCACAGGTAAATGTTACCTTGAATTTTCGATGATTCCCAAGTTAGGAAAACTAACGGAGGCAGTCGTTCCTCGAAGGGTTCAAAAATACGATAATAAATTCTTTATCAATGCCACGTTATTTCCAATACGCTTTCGTCCGAATAAAATTGAAGAAAAATTTGGGTAACAGGAACAAATACTCCCTGTTTCCGATTCGAACGGGTTAATTCGTACCCTCTTGGGTACAAACGTTGAGTGCTTCACTGTCCCCGAAGCCCGCGTACGCCGGTGCCTGGCAGTGGCTCACGCACCGTGGAGAAAGCCGCACAGCCGTTCGGTTCGTTCGGGTTGCACCCTGAAATAAGGTAGCCCCGACGACGAACGAAGGAGCCGACGTGGGTGGCCCCAGAGAGATTTGCCTTCCGCTAAATATCGCCTTTGCGCCCTCGACGTGGGTGGCCCTCTTTCTCTCTCTCTCTCTCTCTCTCTCTCTCTCTCTCTCTCTCTCTCTCTCGCCCAGCTGCCCCCGCCGAGGGGAGTCCTCATCCTCGACACGGCTGATTCGCCCTCCTTCGTCCTCCGTCCAGGAGCAACGGTTCGCTGTCTCCCGTTCTCCTTCCTCCTGGCTCTGATTTCTCTATGTATGCGTCATATTCACGGTAGAGTTCACCTTCGGGATATGCCGAGCGATCCTCGCCAATGTGTCGGGGGCGGGGACACCGGGGGACGGAGCTCGCTCGACGATGAATGGGTGTTATTATAGGTATAGGTAATGAAAGATATGGTTACGCTGTAATAAATAGTATGCGGAATCCGAAGCCTTGGACCCGTGGATCCTTTGCGAACGTTTACTGTGTTGCGAGCACTCGTCCCGATCGGACCACGGTAATAATCGCTCTTTCCAGATATTTCTTTCGCTTTATTGGCCAACCCGTTTTCAGGGTGGATTCCGCGTTTCACGGGAGAGAGTCAAGAACGATCCAAGAGGTGACTTGTACATCCCGCGGGAGCGTTTGTTTAACGCGAGAGTTATTGGTAGGGAAGCTTTTGGAAAGCTTTTGGAAAGCTTTTTACTTTGCCGATTGTTTATAAGGTGATTCCAATTTTGTTCTAGGACCGGGTTCCGGATAGGTCTTTTTATGGAGGAGATGGGGAAATTTATTTCGGAGATGAGTCTGGACAGGATTCGCGCGTTCTTATGAGGATTCAAGAGGAGAAACTATGACAAGTTCCAAGGTAAGGAGTTCTTTGGTTGAAAATAAAACGGTAGACTTGTATTTCCCTAATACTTTATTGACTATTGATATATTTTCTAGGCCACCCGTGGCGGACAGCACAATTTACACAGGATCTAGGAAAATTCATTTTGAACGAGTATCTGGATAGCGTTCGTGAGTCTCGATGAGGGTACGACAAGTTCTAAGTTAAGTAGTTCTGTGATTGAAAATAAAATGGTTTTCCCTCTTACGAGATTCTCCCTGGTACCGTCGTCAGTAAAATTCCCCTCGGGTGCGACATCCAAAGAGTTCGTTAAACGAATCTTCGTTTTCCACGTAGTCCGTGTCCGCGTCGTTTCTGATAGCGACCGTCGACCATGAATCCTGGGACTTTCAGGATTTTATTATGATAGATAGCAAGTTCCGTAACGACAGGAGGTAGACTTGTATGTTCCTAGTACTTTATCGACTATATTAATATATTTTCTAGGTCACCCGTGGCGGACAGCACAATTCACACAGGATCTAGGAAAATTCATTTTGTACGGGTGTCTAAGTAGGATTCGTGAGTTTCGGCAAGTTTGCATAAGTACCAATTTTAGGACGTGTCGATATACTTTGCTGTAAGTTCGGTTACAACAGCAAAGGGTTGAGGAACATTCAAGAACTTTTCAAGTCTACGTCTTTGCGAAATCAGTTAGCACCTTCAAAACGAACCGTGTATGCGCAGGAATGTTAGCGTTGATGCTTATCGCGTTCGTAAAGTTAAACGTACGGTACATACGTTTAATTCTCCTACGTGTAAACGTTTCCAGTCACAAATTAAGGATAAACAACCATCGACATAAAAACAGAGAATTTTCCAACAGAAATTAAAGGACTTGAGCATACGCACAACTGAAAAAGGAGTTGAAAAGAACTCTCTCCGTACGCAGAGTGCAGGCCACGCGCTCGACACCGAGCAGAAAAAGTCACATTTCATACAGATAACGCGACGCGTAAGAACGAGCGGAGGTTTTTACGCGCGGTCGGAGAAAATGAAGGAACGGAGTCGCGTTACTCAAGGAGCAACGTCGCAACGTACGCGGGACCAAATAAATGCACGACGGCGAAGGGTTAGAGGGGCGATGGAGGGCAGACAATAATATCCCGTATTTTATTTACCCTACCGTTTTCTGTGCCGTGGTTCGGTTCGCCCTTTTACTTTCCACCGTCTCCTCGTTGGGCTCAACGACAGGATCGTCGAAGCAACGAAAAAGGATTCGTGATAGGTCGTGGTAGCTGGGCCCTGAAAACGAGAGAAAGGGAGGAAAGAAAGCAAAAAAGGAAAGAGAGAAGCGAAGTGAGAGTGGGCTAGAGAGGGAACGAGAGCGAGTGATAAGAAGGAGAGAAAGGAGGAAAAGGAGGTCGACGAAGGGAGAGGGAGGCAGGCGCCGGGCGGAGGAGGGACGAGAAGAAGCGACGCGACGCGTGTGGTCCACCCCGTGCTTGACGACGAGCAGGACGAGACCAGAACGACGACAGCATCTTATCCGAGACCTCCGGATCGATCGATCAATGGCGAGATCGATGCCTTCTCGGTCGAGACCAATCGAGTACGCGGCACGCTCGGGCGCACACAAGTATTTTTCACCCTCCGGGCGGCGGCGACGATCACGAGGTTCGCTGCATCCACCGAATCGCTATCAGAAACGACGCGGACACGGACTACGTGAAAAACGAAGATTCGTTTAACGAACTCTTTGGATGTCGCACCCGTGGGGAATTTTACCGACGACGGTACCAGGGAGAATCTCGTAAGAGGGAAAAACGATACGAGGACGAACGTTTTAGTCGGAGGATTCTAATTGAACGTTATGAGATATCAGTTAGCAGACGAGCAAATCAGAATATGGTATATAGAGAGTTTTAAAGGAATCAATAAACGTCGATCGAGAAATTGTTATTTTCGGAATTACGAAGGAAATCGGTAGCTATGGAAATTACAAGTAGAGAAACTGGTATTTTCAGGATTTTATTATGATAGATAGCAAGTTCCGTA